GATGACCAATTAAAGGCGTACAGGCTTGCATGTTACATCTTTGAGGTACCCAGCTATTTTACATTCTGACAGTTAAAACTATTAAATGAACCTTTCTTTTGTCGTTGATACATACTATCCCTTTGTGTCCCGATGCCTCAGTACCTCTATACAACTGCCGTCCTTTGGAAATTCTAAATTGAACTTATCTCACTATTATGTCACGAAACTGGTGCGGGTGATTCGATGCACTCTGCTGGTATACATACCAAGAACATTTAAGAAAAATGTTGAAAGCGTAGATGTTTTAGTTTGAACCACAGATGAGAAGAAAATACTGATATAGCTTAAGTCAATGGCAGCTACAGCCTAAAGCTAGAACCAATACGAGATCCATTAGATCTTCTATCTATTGGTCTATACACCTGTCAGGTCATCAAGGGCTTTAATTAGTAGTAACTGCTTATTTATATTCTTGTTTTGTATAGATATCATATGAATGTTCGCTGAGGGCAAGAGATACATTTGTTACCTTTTATTCATCACTATTGGACACCTTAGTCACCGACGCTCCCACAATTGGTTCATTGGATGCGAAATATAAAAAGGTTGGTGATTTCTTGTAAACATTTTCGCTTTAGCTAATTAAGCTGACTAATGACAAACACTTGCATAGTACTGTATTCGACGAGGTTGAAGTTGTCTAAATTGACTATAGTCAATTACTCGCTAGCTCGTGCTTTTTTCGTGCATACCCCACTAGTAACAGCATGCGGATGGAATTTTCTACCCATCAACCCATAGACACCTTCCAATCTTCACGAGGTCTACAAGTCACATTTAGGACATTCTTTTCCAGTGATACAGTTTATAATAGTCCGATGTCTGGTTAGTGTCAGCGCTCAAATCCGATTTCTCCAGCACGGAATTACTTATTCCATTAGGCTCCTCGTGGAGTAAAGGGCGTCCACAACGCTACTTAAGCGGACTCTGTCATCGTCCTCTCTGCAGCTATATTCCAGCTGATGTTTGCTTTTCTCAGTTCCGTCCTCGAATGACCTTTTCCAGGTTTAAACAGGGCTTCGCAACCCTTTCTTTTGCCCTATGAATTCCACGTCAAGTCATTCCTTGTGGTAAACGTGGTTGGTTTTCGCAGCGTGTGCCCTATGCAAGCCCATATCCGTCCTGTTATCTCAGTTTATGTCTGCCCTTGTTCTGCCCTGCTCAAACGTTCTTTGTAACTTATCTTATCTGGCCAGTGAATCTAGAGGATCGTTCTGAAGCATTTGTTAGTAGAGCTTGGTAGCCTGTTCGATATTAGCTGAGTTACTTTCTGAGCCGTATAGGGCCATAGATTTTACATTAGTAGTAAAGATGCGCAAGTTGGTTTTAAGTGGAAATCGATGAGGCGTTGCAGACTTCGCTGAACATTGTAAAGGCTAGTTTGGCTTTGCCTGTTCTGCACTTTGCATCATTCTTTGTCTTGTGATTGTGATGATCCTGCCCAGCTAAGTTAAGCTTTCAACATCTTTCAGTTCCTCGCCGTTCAACCTGATTTGACCCTGCTGTTTGTTATAGTTTACACCACTTTGGTTTATTCTTTGCTCACCCGAGGCTGGACTTTGCAATCAATCTTGGTTTGAATATATTGCAGTGTCTGAGAAAGAAAAACATAAATCATCCGCGCAAAATCAACAACCATCATAAATAATGACCGAGGCAGCAAACAGCCCCAACCACAGGCAGCCCAAGCTCTCTCTATGAACCACACAAGCAACACAATATGGCATCGAATTATAAGGGTTTATCCAAGATATCCATGGAGGTAGTTAAAAGTGAGAATTCTCAATAAAAATGGCTTACCTTATTCCATACGTGTGTTGTTTGTTCCTGGTGTGGTTATTTTCCCGACTGAACTTGATTTAAGCGACTTTTTTGAATTCCG